AAGGTCCAGTCTCTTCGTGACGGTGTTTGTATGCACATACTTCCCAGGGCCCAAAAGTGTGTTTGTATGCACATACTTTTTGGCTCTTGGAACTTTCCATTAGCTGTCTTACAAGTATCAAGGCTCGAAAACGATTTCCTCTCCGTTTTTACTTTATATAACTGTTGAGGAGATAATGATGCATACACTGGAGGGTCTGCGAAACCTCGGTGTTCAAATCTTTCCGGGCGAGAAACTTTTCGACCCGGAATATGCAAATGACATTGTCCTCATCTTTGCAGACTATGACCAAGCACATGCTCTGTTGCATAAGTTGACCATTCCATCTTTCAACAAGCACCCTGCTCCTTCCTGGTGCAAACTCGTGATTCTGAACGTGCTTTCTCTGTTCACGCCTCAGGTCGAACCAATTTTCCTTGCAGACCAGGAAGCTTGTTAGATCTTAAAAGTTGAAAAAGTGGTGGATGTGAAAAACTCAAAACGTCCGCAGGTTGTTCCACTTCATCTTTTCCACTGGTTCTCGGGTATCTCTTGTCAGCGAAACTATCAGGAACCGAAATTGCTCTGATATGCAGCAGAGAACGTTAGGACCGTTAGGCACAATACTTTGGACAGCAATTCAGTAGGCCACCCACCACCATTCCGAACTGCTATCCCTTTACGAAAAAATGGGACTGTGAATATGGAGCGCTTCGCAGTTTCAGAAGTGTCCGAGTGTATGTCTCTAAATGTAATCGTGTTCCTGGTCCCGACAGCCTTCTGTTTTTAAGGACGATGGTGAATAGCTCGAACATTGCCTGGATAGCAGATCTCCGTCTGTCTTGGAGAATAGGCCTATCCGTACAACTTCGGTGAATCATTATTGTTGGCAATCTTCAAATACGATACTCGCAGTGAACATCATAGCCGCAGGAATGTTAGTTTTCCTTTTTTAACAACGCTTCCAGCGTTACTGATTCTTCGTCCTACGGCACCACGGAAAACCTTGAACCCTGGACAACGGGCATGTTTTTTATGGGGTAGGGACGGCGTCGACCATACCTTCACGCTCTTTTTTTATTTTTTGGAGCAAGGATGTAAAACAACGCAGAATTTGAGTGTTGCTTGAGCTCAAGGGTGCGTTCAGTCCTGTCGATCGATCGATGCTTTAACCGCACTGATAAGGGTCTCCAGAAGAAGTCTGAAGGTATTCCGGCTTCTGTATTCACATACTTCGGGGTGGTGGACTCTCGAAAAGCCCCACAAAAAGTGATGCCTTGCAAGGATATCCACTCTCTCCATTGCTGTTCGACGTCGCTACTGATGAACTGATGAGGTGAGCGCTGGGATGTCTTTGAAGCTCCGGCGTTCAAGTCGTTGCTGGTTAGAACCTCGTCGATCTGGAGCACGCCGAATGTATTGTCCTCATCTTTGAAGAAGAGGGCCAAGCACCAGCGCTGTCGAATAAGCTGGCCACCATCATACTGCCTTTTGGCATATGCCCTGTACCTACAGAGTGCAAATCATGACTCAGAACGTGCAGTCTCTGGTCATGGCAGTTACAATTCAAGGCGAAGCTCTAGAGTTTTGGAAGATTTTATGTACCTGAACAATTGTATTAGTTAATATGGAGGTGTGTCTGATGAACTCAGTGCATAAATGTCAAAGGCCCGGATCACTTTTGCTAATTTTCGTCATTTGTGGCGCCGAAAAGACACCACTGCATCTCAAGAGTTTTGTGTACCAGGTCACCACGTGGGTGAGACATGATCTCTGCAGACAGATGTAAGGCCTCTTCAGGCTTTTTACAACTGATGCCTCTGGTGTTGCCGGTGTCGGATGGCCACGACAGATTCGTAAAGAGTTAATTAGAAAACAAGTATTCGGTTGTGCATCAGGTACCCAGGTCACGGTACACATCCAGTATCATCAACTGCGGTGTCTGGGCCATGTACTGTGCATCTCGAAATATGGTCTCCAAGACGAGTGTTGTTCTTCCTGCCTCCTTCAGAGTGGTACAAACTGCGAGGTGGAAAGCGTATAATTCGGCAGGAAGGTTTGAAAGAAATAATGAAATCTTTGGTTGTTGTTGGTGGTGGTGCGTTCACACTCCAGTATTAGAATCCCTGTGATCCATCCTGCTCTTGGCTGGAGGCGTTGCGAGAAATTGTTGCATCAGGAAGGCCATATTCCTGGAACCAACCTAGAACTCTCGGAACCTCCTGAAACCCCAAAACTCCATCAAAATCTCAATAGGAAAGCCGGCGAGCATCCAGGCCAATCAAACATTCAACCAATGCAGCAGCAGCCTGGATCGATAAAAGTAAAATTCAAATGACGTGATGTCCTTTCGAAGTGTTGCACTCGCTTGTTCACAATAAACCTTTGTTTTTTTTCTTATCCGTGAGTCCTTTTTCAGCACTAGGCACTGGAGCGGGCACAGCGGTCAGGTATAACATATTGGCGGCACCCGAATCCACGGACCCATGACAATAACTGCTGAAGCGTTGAATGAAATTCTGCTGCAACAACAAAATCAGTTTTAAGCGACGCAATTGTGTTTGGTGGAAATATTGACGCAGCGACTAGAAATTCAACTTCCAAATTCCGCTCCAGATATAAATTCAGTCGACTCGATGGCCAACAGCATCACAGAGTTCCGTTATGACCCTGATGTCGGCCTAACCTTCTATTCGTGGTTCAGACGTTACGAAGATGTTTTTCAAGTCGAACTGAAGCACAAAGATGATGCCTGGAGAGTACGCTTATTGCTCAGAAAGCTTGGCACAACGGAACACACACGGTATTCCAACTTTATCCTGCCTAAGAACACGCGAGATCTCAGTTTTGACAAAACCGTGCAGCAATTTTCAATGATTTTCGGTGAGCGTTGGTCCTTGTTTAATATTTGCTACCAATGTATGAAACTGGCGAAAAAGGAATCTGAGGACTACATCGCCTATGCTGGTAGAGTCACCCTTGAATGCGAACAATTCAAGTCATCTACCATGACGGAAGACCAGTTCAGGTGTCTTATTTTCATATGTGGTCTCCAGTCACATTCAGACTGATATCAGGGCGAGACAAGATTGGATAAACTCCCGAGATAACGCTGCAATCAGTTACTCATGAGTGCCAACGCCTTTTAAATCTTAAATACGACACGGCTATGTTGGAGAGGCTCTTATCTAACCCTGCTTTCAACATTGCCAAAACGACATCATGGCAACCTCCCGTGCCAACGAATTCGAACGGAGCAAAGCATGCTGGCAATGCGGTGAATAGCATTTTGTGCGATTGTGTCCGTATAAAAAGCACAAATGTTCACTGTGCAATCGACGTGGACACAAGGAAAGCCAGTGCCGGACGCGTAAAGCCAGCCAAAGACGCAGTCAAATCCGGAGGTCACTAAGCAAACGGAGCCAATCAGAACCCCGTTTCAACGCAATTCTGGAAACATTTGACAAACAGATCGATGCTCGTCGCAAGTATGTCACAATCAGAGCAGACGGAAGCACAATTCGATTGCAGCTCGACACGGCTTCTGATATTACGATTGTTTCCCGGTGCACCTGGAGAAAGACTGGGTCACCAAAACTCAGACCAACAATGAACACTGCCAGAAGTGCTTCAGGTGGTAAGCTTTAACTACTTAGTGAATTTGATTGTGAGATGGAGATAGCAGGCTACCGTGATTGTGGTATTGTCTCTCTTGCTGCTTGTGAGCTTAATCTCCTGGGCATAGACTGCATCGATCGACTGTATCTTTCAACTTTATCAATCGACAACTTACGCATATCAAAACCAACCCAAATCTTGAGTGTTTGGGGCGAGTAACCCAGTCAATGCCGCGCTCCTACGACTACAACAGAGATATGATGGCTTTTTTAGCTAAGGTCTTGGATACTTCTCGAAAGCAAAAGCGGTGCTTCGTCTGCACCTGGACGTCCATCCAGTTTTCAGACCCAAAAGACCAGTCCCGTACGTGGTTTTACCAACCCTCGATTTCGGAGTCCTGAAACCGGTGAGTTACTCCTTATGGGCCGCGCCAATCGTGGTTGTCAAAAAGCCAAGGGGTGCCGTACGTATATGTGCCGATTACTCTGTAGGTCTGAATGATGCTACTCCAGTGAAGCATCGGTGTTGAACACTGATGTCATGCTGTCGATGATGATAATCATGATGAATGATGACTTGGACAGTCATCACCATCCGTTGCCGTCACCCGACGATATTTTTGCCAAGATGAACGGTGGTACATGTTTTGCAAAGTTGGATCTTCCAGAAACCTACTTGCAAGTTGGAGCCACAGAGGAACCCAGACATATTACGATTAATGCACACCGTGGCTTATTCCAATATACCCGATTGTCATTCGGAGCATCAGGATTCGGGGATTAGGTCCCTTGTCTGATGCTTACGGTCCAAAAGCCCGACTGCAGGGCAGCAGATAGGTAGGTGCCGGCAATCCACCACCCTTGTACAGGTTCTTAAAGAATTAGTCGCCGTACCTGCTTCAGTCGCTTAACTTTGAGGACGAGCAAAGCCTCCATCGGACCACTATTCATGGGCCAACTTGGTTTGACTAACTCTGTGGGTATCACAAGCCATCCCAATTATAATTCATCCTGTCAGAGTAGTACACCTACCCAGGTGGCCCTACCCCTTTGAAAGTAGGCAACTATTCATGCGACACTTCATCCAGCGGCCATAGGTTCACCGGTAACCGGCAGCTTTTGTTTTCACTCGAGGTGACGAGCCCGTGGTGCCCCATATTAAGTACACACTACTATTCTGAATGTACAGGTCTTTCGGGACAAATCGCCTTATTTCTGTCATTTTGAAGTTACTATTGCACTCTGGTGATCACCAAAATCGATTTTCGCCCCAAACTCATTTGAATTCCTAATTTGGGATTCCCTTTATTTCCAGCTTACGCGTTTCGTAGCGTTGTACTGTGAATAGTTTTATTCTGATTGCCACTTGTGCAAATGGCCGCCGGTGATACCAAAGTAAACGCAACTACTGGCGTGAATGCCGACGAAGACGAACGCCCCAACGATGAAGAATATCAGGAGCTGGAGAATCGTAGCGAGCTCGGTGATGAAGACCTAACAGAAGCAGAAATGGAGGCTTTACGTCGTGAGTTGGCTGCGGAAATATCAGAGTTGGAGTGGGAGTTTAGACAGGCAAAAGAAACTTTGTACAACGAACGAATTGCACAGGTTGAAAGCAAATTAGCTCAGGCTCGCTCCGGTTCTGCTCCCGAGTTTCTACATGTAGCGTCTCTCGTTGAGGAGACCTACAGAATACGACACCAGGTTAGTTTTTTAGGCCCGCTTTAAAGTGGTTATTCAGGTTAAAACAACTTCTGTCTTCATCAAATTTTTGAGGATCTTTTCTTACTCAAGCGAGTGCTAGATGGTCCTTTCCGTACAGCCGGACCTGACATGCTTATTCATTTTATCGAGATTATCGCTGTTAATATTGGACAAACGTAACAAATGACCAGTAGTTTTTCATTGAATTGAGTATCACTTTACGTTCACAATATGGCTTGTCCCAGTTCTAGTGGTTCGTCGAATGATAGATCCTCACACATACAGCGTCTATTTCAGTTCGAATTAGTTGTCTAAATGCGTACGGATGATATTTACATAATCTGGCAAGTTTCACTCCAACTCCGAACCGGTTTGTGAGCCATGTGAGTATATTCATTCTTCCTTTTTCTGGAGCGCCCTTTTTCCTGTCGTAGGAATTCTCAGCTTTTCCAGATATATCCCTTTACATGCTTTTCCTCAAAGATGGTTCTTTGGATGAAAAATCTATAAAATTTCAACTAAGCTGGTAATATATGATACATTCACTGTACGTTCACTGTACGTTCCACCTGCAGTTTAGTTCGATTTCTGTGAGCATATTTTATTTGTGTACATCTCGTACGGGAAAGATTGTGAGGAGTTACGTAGGTAAGTACGGAGATAGAAACAGAGGAATATAAAGGTAAGATAACGGAGGTGCTGAGACTGGTAAGCTGGTACTTGCGTCACTCCCAAGGCTGTCATTGTGTGCGTGACAGTATATCTGTTATACGGTATGGCAACGTCCAGCCAACTGTCCGGATCAAATTTCCATGCAACATGTTCGAAGGTGCAATAAGCAGGATCGGGTCAGATTTTTAGCATATTTTCTGCATCTGTGCCCGCTCCAGTGCCTAGTGCCGGAAAAGTACTCACGAATAAGGAAAACAACAGGTTTATTGCAAACAAGTGAGTGAGTGCGGAAAGTACAATGGTCCCACGCTATACATTCATGGGGTACTGTCTTACCTTGATCCGAGACTGTCTCGCACTGTCTGACTTTGATCCAAAGCTGCCTCACGCTATATTTTGGAGGGCACTATTTGACCCCGATCCAGGACTGTCTAATCGCGTTTAGTGGAGTTTGAGGGTCTCAGTATGTTTCGGGTATTCTGGGATAATGATCGAAAATGTGATCTTTCTGACAGAATGTGTGTACAGGCTTGAAGATTGCCATAAAATATGTAGTTTCATCTGTTGTGAACAAGTACATCTACCGAATTCCTTTTAACAATGGCCATCTGCAGCATTCTTTGGGCATTGTGATGCTCAGTCGACATGCAGCAAACATAGCCCGTACTACTCGTAAAAAACGCATACAATACTATGTTACGAAGTAACCGAATCCCAGGTGTACTGTCCACCAAGTTAACTCTAATTGTGTTTTAAGGTCTCACGTACTCTGATAAAATTGAATGTTTAATTTTCGATATTACGTAAATTGAACACAAAAGTGCGATTCGGTCGCGTGACTATGCATGGAATGAACACTTCTTGATATATTCCAAGGACTGGAATCTAAAAAAAACACGTCTGGTCTAACAAGGCTGCGGCAGGCAAGTGAACGGCTGTGCTAAACTTGGTGACGCTTTCCATTGATATCTTATATGAGCACCGTGTTCCTATCAGTCCCCACTCTAAAGCTGATACAGTATCACTTCCCGCGAGAAGACCACATGGGATAAAGCACTTCCGTCGATAAGATAATTTAGGAGCTACGATGTTTCCTTTCAATCTTTCTCATGGAGTTAACCCACCTTGGAACTTTTTCGTTCTCTAAGAGAAATGGGAATGTTCAATACGATTATCCTGGGTTGTTGATAGATTATCACAATGATGTACACATACATCGATAGTTATCCAGTATTTAGATATTGTCTGTGTGGATTACATTTTCATGACTGCATGAGCCCAAAGAAGAGCTTAACCGGCCTTGGGCTGTCGAAGAGTTTTCAGCAACCGTATAGGTGGTGTGTTCCTTTCAGACATACTGTCGTTTTCGTTATTACATGGGATGACGTCTTCCTGGAAAATTGTATTGCTTGGTCCTTCTTTTTCATGTCTAGCCAGATGAAAACCTACCAGCTTGTAATGTCATAGATGTTGGAGATTGACGATCGTCGTATAGATTAGCCAGGCTTCGATAGGATGTGTCGGTCAAGGATATGCATTGCTATCCATTATGTCAGAATACGGAATACAGGAGTAAAAATTCGTATCTCACTCTTACGAACGCTAATTCGAACAACCGGACAGCGACTAATATTCATTAACCAAGTGCAGAGAGCATTAAATAGATCCTTTTCTGAAACATTCTCGAGGACGGGTCATTTTGGAATCCACCTCGAAGTGAGAGTACCGTTTACTCGCTGTTGGCAGCTGATTCTTATGACCCGCCGTCTTTTACCGGCCGATTTTCCAAAACAAAAGTAGCTTAATCCATCCTCCCACTCCGACCTAGAGGCGATTGAGACACTGAGTACATTACGCACTTCTCTTTCCATAGGTTGCGAAATGCCGGAGAGATTTCGCGATCGAAGTGGCGGACAAAGAATTGGACAATGAACTACAAATAGCTCAGTGTAACACCACTGAGCGGCTATTGACAACAGAAGATCAACTCCGTCTGCGACTTCAGGAAAGTCTGTGCAAACTACAAGTTGAACGAGCAACTATGGCTCTTCAGTCGCACAATCGTAAGTTGCTGAAGTTTATCTTTAGATTTGTTGTGTAAGTGTTATCAGGACGTTGTGATAGGAATTTGACGCCGCTTTTGTTGTATTGGCAAAGGCCTGGGGTAGGTCCCCAAAATCCCAGGTAAATCAAAAGTTACCGCTTTAGGACATCATGTGCTGTCAATCTGACCTCTACAAAAAGTCATGAGGTTACATACAATAATAGGTTGACCTTGCATATTCGTGGATGTGCGCATTCGGATCGACTTTATCGTTTTTCGTCCAGTGCCACTTCACTGGCATTTATGACTCGTTGTACTCGGTCCCTCAAGTCGATAAATCTTTTCGGTTACCGTATACAACAGACTGCGCGTTTTACGATCTTGTCGGATATCTCTGGGTGCCGGAACATCTTCTGTAGCGTTGTTACACTGGAGCCGAAGTTGAATACCTCGCATCAGGGAAGACCGTCTTTGAGTTTTGATTGAAATTTCTAGCGCCTCGGGAGACGCATACGTCTCTAAATGCTACATAGAGCACGTATAGTCTATTTGTCATATCCTTTGACTTGTTGTGGGTTCTAGTTGTTAAAATGCTTACACACTATATATTGTGCTCTAGTAACTTTGAACCAGTAAGTTAATAACAATAAAATATTTCAAATGATCGTGAATGCTTGCATGTAGAGCGACTCCATAAGAGTGTAGTAAAAATGGGGCGAGTACTTGATGCGCAGTCTATGCGCCACCGTATGGTTAATTTTTGACGTTCATAACGAAAGCGGAGATAGCGCAACAGTGTTAGGAAGTTAAAAAATTATCCGGGTTTACGGAAGAACAACGCTCGTTATCAGACAGCTATCCGTATGACCAAAAACGCACACCTCGTAAGGTGCATACTAAGATTGACATTCGTGCTGTGGTGACTCCGTCTTTTTCTTAGGTTTTATTGACGAACGAACAACTCCAAGTACTGTGGTAGAAGCGTAGAATTTTTCAGAAATATTGTAGTTTGTTAACTCACCCGGATCCACCGTTCGCGATGAGGGACGAGATGGCCGAAGTGGTTAGAGCGCGAATTACTAACCTGAAGGTCCGCGGTTCAAATCCGACCTCCGCCACTCGACTTCCCCTGTCTAGACTTGGGCAACCTGGCAGTATCCCAGCCCTCGTGCTCCCTTCGGGTGGCATGGCAGCTAGGCACCGGAAGGGTGCTACAGCTGAACGCATGAGGGACTCACCTCGGTTAATTGTACACCGTGAAGCCGAGGTGATTTTCACCTCACAGAGCGACATCGGAGCAGTTCATTTCTTTGGGATGACAACGCTTTTCAACGACTATTTGAGTAACACTTGCTCCGGTGATTCGGCAAAATTTTTATTTCTCTAGTACTCGGTCAGTTGTGTCGGTTCGAATAGGTCATTTTGATCTTATTTTACATGGACAGCCTTCTTGGTGGTCGGGCTTCTGTATCTATGTCATTTGGAAAACTGGCTAGCATTCAACTATTCGGCTAACGACGGAAAATCATTGCGTAAGAGGCGACCCAAAAGGCATTTCTCGAAATACCCCTCACCTCATCGGTTGATGAAGCAAGCGATCCAGAAGGACGCTGTTTGCCGGAGGGAGAATACTGAATTTGGTCCTGCCTGCAGGTTGTATAGAGGCGCGGTGTCGAGAGGCGAGGGGAACTGCGCGATGGTTCACGACTGACAGGCAACGCTGTTGCTGATTCCTAAGGGCAATAGTCCCGATTCGGACGGCTCTCTATTGAGGGATTGCTCTGTTGAAAATAACCTAAGACAGATACACGTAAGAGTGGTTGTCGTTCTTGTTTAACAAATGTACAAAACTACTCGTATACGAAACATACTCGAATCGACTAGGCTGGATTCGGTCAACAGGGATTTATGCTATTAATGAGATGGTTCGGACACATCAGTGCTCTCAAGCCTATATATACTGAGCGTACTGAGTAGGATGTCTGCGATCTCAACCGCTGATCATGCAAGTATGTGGGATGGGCTGATGGAACTAAGGTGCACTTCATTAGGATAAGTAGATTCATTTCGAGTAAATCACGTAGGTTTCAGCTGCCAGCGTTTGGTATACCAACGTGTTTTCCCCTAATGAGCAATGTGGAAAGGATGGCAATACTCGCTGACTAACCGCTACCGTTTCTCCCGAGTTGGGGTGTTTCTCACATTGCAACTGAACTTACCCCTCATTTGAAGGTAAAACTACTTCGAGTAAATTACTAGCTTGTCAGCCGACATGACTTTAACATGGAACTGTTGCGTGATGGTGTTCGTCCACCGAATCAGCAGCACAACAGCCATTTCCCGGTTCAGTTGGGACAGTATTCACTGTGTCTCAACAACCTATCCAATCCGATGAAGAAAGCTACGATTCCTAGGCTGTCACTTGTTGCACCAGGTTTGTGTTGCTCCAGTCCGGATGAATTTGAGCTAACGTGAAGCCAAGAGTAAACTGGACAGGCTGCGTTAAGCTTCCAGGGAAATTCCGCACGTAGTTCATTGTAGATAATATCCGCCCACATGGTTGTTACCGTTAGAGTTGTGCTGTAAAGGATAATCACGAATAGGGCACCCACTCCCCAATACCAGACCGTTTGGTTCTTGTAAGAACTCTTTCTTCGAATGTGAAGAACTGTTTTTCACCAGCACTGTTGAGATCTATCACAATATGTTTTTTGATGGCGCTTCCCGCCACTGATATAAAGTTAGCACTGTTATTCAAAGCAATTAATGCCTTGTGAGTTATGTGGATTATTGTCGCTACGATTGAGTGGCCACCACCGTAACATGTACCGATGTGGCAAAAGGGCGAAGGCACTAAGGTGGTGACTGATGTCTCGCAAAGAAGTCCCTGCTGTATGTCAAACCTTACGGAGTGCGAGAATACTATGACGAGTGACGGCATGCTGAAGCCGAACGGTATTTGTTTTTCTGATTGTGTGCTAGTGTGTGCGTGTTAAGTTATCCCACCTTTGTGCACTTCTCCATGCTAGAGCACAACAGTCAACGCAGAACCCGCTCCAGTGAAAATGATTCCAACGGCAATCTAGAGTCCCAACCCAGAGGTATCCTGTCTGCCCTCGACACCAACTTCTATCTCCCAGCTCCCAACCTTGAACCCCGCAAGAAACCAGTCAGTCTATCTCCCACCGCGCCGCGACTTATCTATCAGCTTCCAGAGGAAGATATTCGCGCTGATGTGGATGCAATCATGGCGGCCGTCAAGGTTTGTTGGGCGTTCTGCAGCTATATTACCGAACTTCATATAACACATTCAAGCCCAAACATCCATATTCGTGATTTATCGCACATCCTGTCGTATTGTTTGGGCTATGGGCGTGTAATAGGTGCATAAAACTTGAGGTAAACTTTCCTTCTGAACAACAGACCCGTTGGAGCTTCCAAACTGGGTTGAGTTTGTTAGCAGAGTAATGACCATAAATGGTATATTCATCCTATTCAAAGTTGGCGAGGATACAGTCTGGCCAATTTTGGTGTCCTATGAAGGGATTTGCGTTCCTTTTATTTTAGCATGTATGTTTGCCGTTCGTTTGTGAAGCGAATACCATCGATATTGACCTATTTCGTCCATCCTGAGCGGCCATCAGGAGAGTTTGGCAACTGCCCTTCATATCTAGCTCAAAACGAAATTACGGGAAAAACACAAGGGCGAATAGTTGAGTCAGCTGTGTTGATTCTATTGATTAAGAAGGCACCTGCTGAAGGTTTTCCATTTTCAACAGCATTTTGACCAGCGGAAGAGGTGAAAAGCGGCACGGCGTCTTGCGAACCCGATGATAGCCAACGAAGTTTTTCTAAAATCACAAATACTTAGGATGTGGATTTGTTGATTTCTGGAGCAGCGTTTTCTTGAAAGCTAGTTAATGTTTGCGTGATGTTCACCGATAAGCCTGCCATACTACCGTACTCTTTTTGATACAATGGGTACTCGTCGTGCTCTTTTAAGAACTTCTTCAGCTTTTCAAGGCACGATGTATGGAAATCAGCTACTCACGTACGCTCTGCATTCTACTACCTCTTCTTTTTCTATCTTCACATGCAGGAACACAAACTGGCTGTCGCCATGGCAGAAATGAACGGAGGCAAACGCGTTTGTTAAATTTATTCATTTACTTATTTCTCTGCAGATGTTTTTTCTATAGTTTTCAACATGGTAACCAATGTATATCACACTCTCCATGTACTTTCCGCTGTGTTCCGCTTTACACTCTCATTGGGCCGTGGCGTGCGTTCCAAAACATGACCCTACGGGCATATCAGAAAGGATCACACTAACACGAACTGCTGAACGCATGTAAAAATGACGTGTCCATAAAATCATGAAAAAACCCATCGATCATCGCCATTGACAAAAACAATAGAGGAGAACACCAATGCTTCGCTGCCGTACCTCCGAGTATGCACAATATAAACGGTTCTGTGCACTTTACCGTCCTGGACTGTTTATGGTGCGTAGGATGACGGGTGGTACAGTGTAAGCTGTCATTGTGCATGATGTAGAGGATAATATAGGTTTAGCGTAGAAGTAATTATCAAAATGTTGCTAAATGGAGTTGTACACTCTGGTTCGATCTTCATCCGACACTCACTATTGAGTAACAGGAAGGCTATTAACAAAGATGTTTGGAGTCGTAGTTCCATGGGCAACATAGTGGAATGAAATCTAACTATGGACTCCCAAGCAAATAAAATTACAGAGCACTTCACTTAATTCAGGATGAAATTTTATTGCTTTTCGACGTCTCACTGTACTCAATTTCGAACTCGTTTATATCGGTTTCCCGGCTTTCAATAGACTAAACCTCCCCCAACCAGCGATGTGTCCCTCCCATCACGCAACATGAAATAACTCGCAGGTAGCTAATAGTTTGGGTGAACCTAAAAACAACTGACGAAACTGTGCGGACGCAACAGCAAGTGTCTGGTAAAGGGGGCATACATCCATACAGGGTGAAGGTTCATCATATTCCATCGCAAACTGTCTAAGAATGCATTACCCCTGAATAGTAAGGCGGAAACTTGCTATTGCCGTGTTATTTGTGTTTATACACAGACCTGTAGAGCCGATCCAATGATGCTGTCACACTTATTTTTCTCCTGGTTTAACGATTCGATCAGTAGTGCACGTGTTTAGCTTGAAAAATAAAAGAGACGGAACTCATTCATCTTCCGGTGTAGAATTTGACTGAATGGGTTGACTGCGACTTTCTTCCTGCACTCGGAGTAACTCCATTGCGTTGTTGCTGTCACGTGTACAGTCGGGGGTTCGTTTGGTCGCCAAGACAAACGTGATTGCCCATATCAGATGAGTATCCTGCATCGCGTACGTTAAGGGTGCGTAATGTTCGACTGGATGTCCAAATTGAGTTTAATGTACCCGTCTTCTTCGGGCGGAAGTCTACTTTTCACCGGGCGCATATAGCGTGCTGGTTCAGCCGAACTGTATTAGCCGTGATGAAGCTTTTTTGTCGAAAGCGGAACGTCGCGCAAATAAGAACTACCGATTGTTTACCAAGCTCTTTTGAAACGATGACTTCCCAATCGGTTCCAAACCTTTTCCAATTGATCGAACTGTATTTTCCCTATAAGACACCATCTGATTAGTGATGTGTGCTTGGTACGTCGCTATAACTAGTTGAAAGCACAATCCTTGTCCAAATATTGTGGCGTACTCTGTCCTTCAGTTTCATTGACCTTATCGGTGTAATTGGTACATAGGACCAACGGGCATCGAATGCCACTTAGCGGTGAATGTGTACCGTATTGTGCGCACTGGGTCTATTAATGACTGGTTTCCGTGCAAACACTGCATGGACTGAGCTGGTCACCGGCTCTCAAAAGGCTGGTGAACCCGGCTTAGAAATGTCACCTGGTGAACTAGATTTCCTTCCAGGTGAAGATTTATCTATCAGCCGCAAAACGTTGGTTCCACCTGCTACAATTTCGACCACTGGGAAGTGAAAGGGCATGGGATATACAGCCAAGCATTGAAGTTATGCCCTCCTATTCGGACAACTGTAAAGTATCCTGCACGAACTTGTAGTAGCCCACCACTCATTGTCGGTTTTACTTGTCCGGGATGCAGACTCTGGACACAGTTAACTTTGATCTATGCTATCTTTCGGTGGTCAGATAATAGGACCCAAAGTGTATTGTCACCTTCAGCTCGCCCTAGACAGTGTCAACCTGCATCTGGAGCCTAAGGGAGGATAGCACCTTGACAAACATGTGTTAGCGTCACAATTTCTCCACGTGTCTTGAGAGTTGTTGCCAGGAAATCCAGTGGTGCATTCAAACTACAAACTCGTCCGTTACCCCTACTTACGCCGGTCTGTGGATGACTGATTTCGCAGTGACAACAGAGCATGTCCTCTGTGGTTTAGTGTTTGTAACAGACTTCAAATTAAGTGCCAATTTTAGACAGCTTGGTGTCATTCCCAGTATGCGATGGGCACAGGTGGCCGCGTTTCAAGCAGCAATGAGTGGTGAGGAAGCACACAAGACTACCGCTATTGTTGGAGCACAACTAGACTCCCTGTAAGCCTTAATTTGCGCGAGAACACTTCCCACTCTTATGGATGTCCGAAAACAAAGCACTTCCCCTCCCAACTACGACAAACTTTTATAAATATAAACACAGACCTCTCGAAATCGATTTACACGAGGTCAACGGAGCAACAGTGGATACTATGGAGAACAAACAGCCATGAACATTCTTCGGAAACAATAAACGCCACGAAAAGGCCACTTTGATGAAAATGACGCTGTGATCTTACTCCTGGTTGGCTTCTCACAGAGCACTAAAAAGTTTGCCAGGTACTCCTGCCCTCAGACAACTAGAAAAACCTCAGTCAGTACATCTCCACAAGTCAAACCTTACCAAAAGTTGTGTCGAAGATCTGGTTCACCCCACTGCTTAACTGCCCGTCAAAGGTCGGACGGGATCAACTGAATCTAATGCCGCAACGCACAGACAACCATATAGTTGATCCGTCTACTTAGAAAGTAGCATAAACAGCAGTATGTTTTCATGAAGGAAGCTACTCTGTAGGATATTGGTAACTGTTCGACAACCCACGACCGGGGGCTCATCAGGTACGGGGTAGCATTTTCACACAGTAATGTAAAGCTTCCGGAAGGGACAGACTACCTGCTCAACAGCTCAAAATTGGTGAACAAGGGCTGCAATCTAAAGCCCTCCACTAAATCCAGTTGACATAGGAAGCCAAAGATGCCCCATAGGACTTGAAAAATCCAACGAGTGGCTCCATCTCAAAAGAATTGTGAAGTGTCAGGAGGCGTGACTACCGGTTAACGGGTCTGGCATCTACTTGTGACCAGATTCTGGCCCCTGTCGTGCCGAATCTTTTGAATGCGTACATTTTGCTCGGTATCGTTTCAAAGGAATGGTTGTGATGACAAGGCTGATAGTGAGACGAATACTAGCGAAACAAACCGACAACTGTTAGTTTCTCTTTACTGCCACATTCTGGCCTGCGTGTCCAGCGTCTAACAAGTTTAGCGTCAGAATGCAGCTGAAATGTATGCTTTCTATCGGTCTGCTACTAAAAGCACCAAATTCCACAACATCGAACTGAATGGCTGTGCGATGGTGTGTTCCCATGTTTCTGCTATCCAGGCAATGATGTACCACCCACCAAAAGATTGATGCCGGAAGTCGATGCGCGAAGAACTCGCCATGTGGAAGTCGGCACAAAATTTGCTGTATACAGTGCCATCATATTATTCACGTTTGTGTACTGCGGCTAGACCCAGACTGTGCAGTAATGTCATTCCCGATTTGGAACAATTCAACAATAATGCTTCGGAAAATTATATGCATTCACTGGTCAAGCCGGGTCACCAATACTCCAATTCTTTAGAAGATAATACTTATGGATTGGGAGTACCTTGGTTCCTAACTGATGGCACTGAATAAACCATATGAGACGCATCGCGTCGGATCGTATTCCCAAGCACCTCCTACACGAACAGTTGAAGAATCTACGAGGTCAAAGAAGATCAGAACCGCGGTAAGGAGACAGACATCAGATGAGGTTAAAAATATTTAGATTTTAGATCACAGGGAATATGGACCCGGACAGATGCGCCTCGTGAAAGACCGTCTATGCACGCTTGGTGCATTTATCCCGATAACTGAACGCGAACGGATCAGTCATATGGGTCCCGTAAGGAAAGTATCAACAACAGTGAGCTCGTTTGGCTGCTCAACCTGTGTATCCTTACACACTAGCGGAAACGGACTGAGGGAACGCCAGAGCTCCCTTTATGTGCCGGCCAAGAAGTGTTTACGCGCAGTTGAAACGAGTTTGCCCTAATTTTCCGAAGTGGCTGTTTTTCGCGAGTCCTGGAGAAAGGGCTCGTATGGTGTGTGGTGGATGTGAGGTGTTAGCAGTGTAACGCATTGCTTATGTTCGTCACAATGCCCATCATGCTGGCTGGTGGCTCTCAACATGGCGCCGTTATTAATCCCTCGGGTTCCTATCGTAACCGGCGGTTTGCTTATCTTATTTGGCTCCATGCGAACCGCTTGTGGTTCATGTACTATATATACACTATAACAACAGCTGTTGATCGGCAAATCCGTTTCGGATGCCAGACAATTATTTGTGCGCCGCTGTGGGGTTTATGAAACTTAATTTAACGGCTGAAGTAAGATATACGTTTTGGAATTAAGCGTTCGTCGCACGGGCGAGATGACTCAAGTGATTAGGGCGCGAATTTACTGACCTGAAGATTCATGGTTCAAACCCGACCTCTGCATCTCTACTTCCCCTGTCTAGGCTTAGGCAACCTGGCAGTATCCCAGCCTTCGTGCTTCCTTCGGGGTAGTGTGGCGCTAGGCACTGGAGAGGTGGTACAGCTGAATGTCTTTTTAGGATTCAGGTGAATCTTCTCCAAATAAATGTGTTTTACAACAGTCACCTGGTCTCCCATGGGAAACGATATTCGAAATACCAAAGTATTCTGGCAACATACTATCGCTTTGAACTTTTTGCGTCCAGTTCTAGAGCTAACATCAACCTGATCTCGTATCTGGATACCAGATTGGACGAAGTTCGAAGACCAGGCCTGGTTGACGAGCCATACCCCCAAATAGGATGAGTGCATTCATCAGTCTTATTATCACTGTAGTATCAACGAAAATATACATCGCATTTTAGTTTTGAGACCGAGAACATCACTCTGCTGTAGAACACTGGTTTGGTTAGTAGTATTGTGGACATCTTCACGTCGATCAGTAATATTAACCCCTCCTCTTTACTTCCGGATGTTTTTGCGATCCGAACTGCGGCATGCGCTCAAGTGTACTGCACTGCACTGTACTTTTATCTGTAATTCGTCTCTGATGAAACCATATGTAAACGTTTTACACAATAATTTCATTACGAACGGGTCCTACATTCAGCTGGGATTAAGACAAGCTAAGTGAACAGGTCGTCTACCCTCTAATGAAATAATTGGGAGAAAAAGGCCTCCGAATAGCACAAAATTCATTGCATACCCCAGCTGATCCTAGGGAGTTTCGTTCCATTAATTCCATTCTCATTCAGCCGGTGAATAAAAGTAGCCTGGCAACCCCACGCAAGATGAGAAAAAATGGGTCCGCCTGACTAGACTACTGGAATTATTCAGTCCAATTCAACTGGATTGTTCCACTGCATCATTTCTTAAGCTCAACGATCGCACTCTACTTTACCGTTATTAGGGTGTGTATTCGCCAGTTTCGCTATAGACAGAAAATCCTGGCCGCGCTGAAATTGTAGTTGTTGGCTGTTTATCGACCATTGATGCAGAATTAGACAGGTCCTTAGTCACGTGATCCAGCTCTTGCCCAGTCAACCGACAATCAACGTTCTCTGCTAGCCTGACATTCACATAAGGCTGCATAAAACTGGATAGTTTATTTGCCAGCCGCTTAGAATAGATGGCAAGTGGTCGTGAAAGATTGGCTCTCAATGAACGAAATCCTTGCGAGGCCAGCATGCCTTCATAGAATATCTCACGAAATGAAAACGACTTGGAGATGCGCCTCACTTGTTCCTCAGTAAGAATACTTGATAAGACATTAAAATTCAAGTCCGGTTAGATACAGAACTCAAGTTTTCGAGGAATACACTGGGAGGTATTATTTGTGATAATACTTAAGCAGACTATCGCCTTACCGGACGCCAAGACCATGTAATTCTTTCAGTATGGTCCTCTCGCTCTATTCAACGGTCTATCGCCTCACCTCCTCTGTGAGCTCGTTTTATTTGTCGGTCCGCTCAGCCACATCTTCGAAATTCCGTCCTTCCAGTGCCATAAGCTGCAGAAGGTTTTGGCAAATGTCCCATGGCCATGATTTGTGGGCACACGCAACGGGGGTAAGTGTACTCCAGTCGTTCCTGCTAACGGTGCAGCCATTAACCTTTTGTATTCTAACGCCTTCGACACTATAACAACTGACTATCACAAATGTAAACGCTTGTGAGATGGACTAGTAAATAATCACATTTGAAGGGCTGAGATACCTCAGGATACACAACGTCAGTCCCATCGCTGCTCAGTCGTTCATTGTTAGCTCAATTCCTTAATTCCCTGCGCGCCCGGTATATTATCGATTAATGCACGTCGTGTGTTGAACACTGGTAGCGATGAATGACGTGGTATTCGGTGGAACCCTCCGATAGTATCGCATATAAGCCATAAGCTACGTCTCACCTATTCGGTGAGAATTATCATGGGGCGATGTGAATGCATCGGGGTTGTGGGGACATCAAAACTAGTAGCATTCATCCGCATCTAACACCACACATCATACATTTAACCGGTTCAGAATTCGGTACTGAGTACATCACCAACCATCAAATCGGTCTGGTCACGCCATTCCGTTAGCTAATCCAAATATTCTGAAGATCGAAGTGGCTTTATGAGTATCTAGTACTCTATCCCACCAAACACCATCATCATGGTGATCATCTGGTGCCACAAAGTAAGACCCAAAAATACATCAGCAAAAAGCCTGTTTATATTGGTTGTCTTTCTCTTACTAAGTTTGGGTTAAACAAACGACCATAGAGGTCGCGGAAAGGATAGAAAACAAATCTTGAAAAACATTTAAAAATATGCGCTGTATAAAATAGTGAATAGGTAAAATAAAAAATTCAGTATATCAAAAACTTCTCGTGTCCAGTAAATTTGGCGGCAAAGCTCGCCCCGTCTGCCGTCAAATCAGAAAAGGCTATGTGCTTACGGGTGAGTGGATGGGCGTAAACAAGATGTCTAAGGACGCAGTCCAACAGTTTGGTAGCTACTCCTTTTCTTCGATGCTGTCTATTTACCCACAACCGACGAACACCACAGAGAACGGGGCCAAGAGAGGTCGGATTGTCACTAGCGGGAGGTGCGGTGTTCTGATTATTGTTAGGAAGAAGGCTGCCGTGAACATCTTTAGCCTGAACAGTCCATGTGAGAAGGTCGGAAATACCGCCAGGAAGGACCCGAAGTTTATAGGCCTTTGATTTGATGAGGGTTGGTGTCAGCTCCTGAACAACGGCGCATCCAATTACGTGCTGACTCACATCCTGTACGCACGCGAACACTCGCCAGTCTTTGGGGATTTTTGTTACTGAAGTACAGCATGTTTCTCCGTGGGTTATAAAGTCGCCTTCGCCTTGTGAGTGATCACAGCCTAAATCGCGAGCCATCAAACGCGCGATCCGTGAAAAGTATGATGTTCCAACGGTACTGTTAAGCACCAGTTCTACGATTCGAGAACCGTCGAAGTACTCTTCCAAAATCCGCTGAGAACGTCCCCGTGGCAACTGTAAACATTAACGAAAGATATGTAAGATTAAAAAACTCAAGGGTCAATAAGACACCAGGCGCTCTGATGCTTTCCACGCAGATCATACTCATTATGGGAGAGGTCTGAGATGGAGGAAACAAACAACATAACTATAAGACTTTCGAAGTAATCGATTAATAAGGAAACGGATTATGCAAAAGGTCAACGTTACCATGATAATCGTCATGGTGTAGCCATGCGCGCTGCGAATAAGTAGTTTGAAATTTCTTTTAGAGCAATGAGGTCAAAGCCATAATACAACCGTTGCGTCTTGCAGGTGGCAGTGCCGGACGACATGGGCCAAATAGTCGCGTATGATCCGACAGGTCTCCGAGTTGACTGTAACTATAGCGGCCACAAAGTTGTCAGGACGTGATCCAATCAAGGTGTTGCGGCCACCTGCAGTTCTTTGTTCCAAATGGCACTGAGAGGTTGGTTCAAGAATTGAAGCTCACTAATCCAATCCAAACCTACATAGCTCTTGAGGTAGCAAGATGATTGGATTGAATCCTATTTAACGTTCCGGAGCAGTTCAGCTCCAGCAAACGGGTTAGCCAGTATGCAATTTGTGTGATTCACCGGTGGCTTTGGAATTAAGTTGCAGGTTCATTTTGAATTAAAAATCAGATCAGAATCTGTATTAAGCTAGAAGGCAACTGATGTGCCTTTGAAAGTTGTGACGAAATTTCGTTGGCAGAGTGACTTCATCTTGAATACGGCGAACAAGGTCCATAATAAGTAATAAATAAGCAACGGAACTATCCAAACAGCTTGAAACAATTTGCATCCCTATAGGATCTGAACCAAAGAGGGGAACATATTCAGCGTACTCAATGTGCGTAAGCGAAAACCTGGGAGTATTTCGTTACCTGGGGTGTTAGAGACATATACAGAAGACTTAAGCAGCCTATCGATTACGAAGATAAAAGAACGACGACAGAGAACAACCCTATATGGAACTATTGGGTGTGGTGAACTCAGGAAAGAATTCGCCAACGAGAGTACGCGTACAGAGCCGCGTCACACATTGCCACGGTTTCTGACGATCAAAAGAGGCAAAAGCAGATCTGATATCAAGAAAGACGGTCATTATTGGTCGTCGAAAGGAGTTGCACAGTTATAGCACTTGTCGGAAAGTGAAGATATAATCTACGCGACCCGGCCCAGAGTAAAACCCAGCATGATCCTTGCCAATCCGACTCTCATGATGACGGATAAACCACCTCCGGATAACATCAGAAAGCGGACTGGACGCTATGGCAACTAAAATGTATCCTCTGTGGTTTTCGCACTATGTTATTGCACCTCCTAAAATGGGAACCACTGTCCAGGCCCCCCATTCTGTTGGTATTCCACGAACTAATTACACCACCTTCTAAAATGGGAACCACTGTCCAGGCCCCCCATTCTGTTGGTATTCTTTCTTCCTGCAAAACACCTTGCAGTAACGTCGTCAGGATGGCCCCAATGTACTCACCAATTTTTTATGAGAGGATCCAAACCACCTCAACCGGGTACTTCACTGAATTGAAACAATAAAATCGCACGCTGGACATCGGTCATCGATGGCGAACTCATGCCGAAGTCCCAGATCATTGTAATCAGAGGCAGCAACATCAGTGTTGACAATGATGCTTCATCGCTGTGCAACCACAAAGTTTACCTAATCTTATTTCAAGCGTTAGAATAAAGAAAACATGAAAGTGCGCGTGGGTGAGGGGACCTAGTACTGGTCGACTGAAGGCATTCCGAGGTGCCTACACCTCCAAGTACTCAGTCAAACAATCTGGAAAGAAACCGACATGAAAGACATCGACATCGATCAGCCGCCATTTCTTGTAACGTCTCCAGCCAGGTGCAGGAGGGGTCACGGAGACCCCATCCTGGAAGGTGTACTGCATCAACAACACCAAAACTCTTCGTAGTCTCTTTCACACACCGTCATACATTATCCAACTCGTGGATTCCACCATTCTCAAGGAGACACAGAAAACAACACTCGTCCAGGTAGACGGTATTTCGGCATGCGTAGTACAAGGTCGAGTCACCGTAGTTGATGGTGCTGGATGTTTTCCACGACTGAAGTACCTGCAGCACAACGAAATACCCGTTTTCTAATTACCTCGCTGTGAATATGTTTACCCTCTCCGAAACCAGCAATGTTTCTCAGGGACCCGAAGATGCCTCACATCGACTGTCCACAGCGGCCATGTTTCGCAACCATACAACAATACAACCCTTACTGTAGCCTGGTACACGCGACCCTTGAGATCAAGTGATACGCCGTTTTGACGCCACAAGTGACGCAAATTATCAAAAGTGATACTGGCTTTTGAGATTCGCGCACGAACTTCATCAGACACACTTCCATCGGAGGTAATACAACTACCGAGATATGTAAAACTCTCCACAACCTCCAGCGATTTTCCTTGAATTGTAAGGGGTATATCTAGAGACTGTACGTTCTGAAGCATAACTATGCACTTTGAAGGTGCTAGGCGAATGCCGAAATGTGATATGACGGTGGTCAGTCTATTCAACAGGGCTTGTGTTTCGCCTTCGTCTTCAAAGATGAGGGTGATATCACCTGTGTGCCGCGTGTCGCCGAATCAGTAACACCAGAAGCCTTGTTACAACTGTAGTCAAACTAACGACTCTGTGGTTGCTACATCCACTGTGAGCACCGTTTTTGTGAATGGGCACTATTACCGACTCATCCCAGTTACCTGGAACGGTCTTTCTCCCACATGGACCGAAATAAGCTAGACAGACAATAACAGAAAAATTCAACGCCATCCTTGAACATAGCAGGTGAAAGGTCGTCAGGACCAGCAGTACGATGAGGCTGATCCGGGGTTCCATTTTCACAGTCCACCTTTCTGTTGAAGGTTAGTTAGCCGAATTGAGGATGGCAGGCGGCTGATACGATAAACAAACACCGTTTACCTCATCGATCTGCAGTGATGTTAATTAATCCAAACAACCGCACAGTGCAAAGACGACTGTTTACTGCGATCTAGTCCAGTAAAGCGCTTTCAGCCTTGGAGGTGAGCGCCACTCCCACACCGTAGATAATACGAGCCATTGGGTTAGGAAAACCCGATACCTAAATAATGGAATATGAATCACTTGAGCTCATTCATAGGGTTGAGGTGAGGGTCATTTATGCGTGTTTTGGTGACACAGTATGCACCGGCAGAGAGTGAAAACATGGTTTCGGCAAGAGATGCTCGCTACCCAATTTGACATCGAAGGCTGTAACGTGGACCGGATCTTTGGATGTTAACAGGTGATTATTTTTGGTTGATTTTCCTATCGCAGAGGACTATCAAACTTTATCGCCGACAAACCACCTCGTAACACCATTTCCCGCAGTACGGGGACTAGCCATCCCTAGTCGGGCTGCTCCCAATTGGCATTCCCGGCATGGTTGAAACTTCAAGAACTGAGTTCCAGCCAGTGTAGCCCGCAGGCTCATTGAAGCTCGACCACCATGACAAGGTGACGACGTCTGTCGTAAAATATTTGGAAATTATTATAGAAGGGTTTATCTGCATCATTTCTTCAGTTAATTTCCGTTATTGTTTGCATATCCATAAATAACAAAAAAGTAACCCGTGAAATGCTCGCGATTTCGTGGTATGCAGGGAACCTGATGCTACCGACTGTTCAGCAGGCATTAAAACGTGNACGTGCGAGTATGCGCGCAAATAGCGCGAGAAGCATGAAAGTTTGTCTGTATGACATTTGTCCAAACGGTGCTGAGCCGTCCTAAAACGTCGGGTCATCAGAATTCACCCCAGATCCACGTTATAGTTCGGCACACATCTTCAAGGGAGGGTAAAAAAAACTTCCGTGAGCGTCACGCAGAGGAAAAAAGAAGTGATTACAATGCTGTATAAATGGTCATGTTACAAGCGATGAAAAGTTCCAACCAGAATGAGGCTAATACAACAGGAGAGAAAGCGAATTGAACCAAGTACCACCAATCGCGAGTTAATCCCTTCACGCAGCTGCCAACGGTTGGGAATCCGTTGATTTGTGAAACTTAAACTTCCCTACTTGGAATGAAAAGGACAAGAGTCAAGGGTTGAAAAGCGTCGAAAAAATTTTTAGCTTTCAGTGAAACACTGACCGGTCTTTCTCACTTCAACTTTATAGCAGGGTTGGAAACGTGGCAGTAAATTTGAAGGAAATGCATGGGAAACTGATGATCCCTTAAAAAAAACTCACCTTCGCTACATCAGGCACAATTTTACGATGGTGAATTTTGTGCAGTTTATCATCTTCTTTATCTCCTTTATTGTACACCATGCCGCAATCCACGCACCTAGTGGCCCCAAGATCTTTCTGACCGAAATCCAAACGCATTTGTATTGGAAACGGAACGCGGTTTTTCGATGGACTCATGAGTGAAGGCTGAAAGCAAAGGATTTCCGAAAAACGGAGGGAAAGCGCTTGTTTAAATAGTTGTACGAAGCTATTCAAGAACTTCGAGGAAAAAAGAACCCAAAGCCTGTAAAGCTCATTGACTAAAAAATCCAATAACACATACTGAAGTCGTCTGAGTGCCATGTACGGAGCATGTTTGGTGTGAGTTTCAACTGGTTTGTGTCTCACGCGTCTTTACAAGGTACCGTTAATAGGGATGACAAGGGTTCGGCTGCGAATTCCATTCAGGTTATTCTAGACCCCTTTCACTGCAGAAAGGCGCAGTAACCGCCTCGAAATCGGCCACTAAAAGCAAGTGAAATTGCAGCACATAGGTCGACTTGGTACTGTTATCCAGTCGATTTAGCTTTGACTAGGATCAGGCCTATATCGCGTGTCGTGACTTTTGCCTATGCCAACCACTGATCCCTTGTGGTCAACCTTTTGAGAAAAAAGTGAGAAATCCATTCGTCCACATGTTTGCATCTTAGCGTTCTGACAGACGCGGCTGCGGTAGGAGGTGCAAGGGTTGGTGTCATCCTAGGTCATCCAATGGAAGGATCCTTGCTTCACTCGACACCTGCTGATAGTCGCCTCTGTGCGGTTCGGCTGGCAACGTTTGTGAAGGAGTCTTACAAGCGGGAAGTTGACTGATGTATGTTTGTTGTGTCTGCTTACGCTCCAACTGACTGTAGCTCTGACACAATCAAAGACAAGTTTTATTATGCCCCATTGCGGTGAACTAAAAGATTAGATATAGTTGTATTTGCCGGAAATCTGAAGGCTCAGTGCATCTGAGACTCAATTAGGTGATCAGCATATGCTATACTCGGTACGCACGGACAATGGTCGACGATTGCTTCAGCTATATGCTGCCCCCGGGCCGTTAATATGCAGTGCTAGCTTCCGAAACAGCCGAAGTCGTCTAGCCCCATGGTGTCCTCCAATGGCGTGCCGGCTACGAATTCAAATTGATCAGATTGCAAGCAGTCACCGATGGCGCGGATAATTAGCTAACTACCACCCGTTTTGGAACGCATTTATGGATTCCGACCATGTACTCGTCCGGAGTCGCTTCTCCCTGCGTTTCTGATGGCCACGTAAGGTGTGGAAAAATGGCTTGGCAACCGAGAGGCTGTCAGATCCTGCTGTTAGACGAATGTACCAGAATGGTCTTCAAGACTTTATTCCAACTGTTCCACAAGCAAACGCGAATTCGTGGTGGAACGAGATCACCAGCTCTTTGCACAGTGCTGGGAGTTTTGCTTGTGGCAAGCGGCCACCGGATCACTCAAGCACTGGATGTCAGACCGAAAAATGGCACTGCTTAAATCTCAGAGTAACGTCCCAACCCGTCCCGAAAAATTCGGCCCGACGAACTATCAGACGCCAAGAAAAAGGGCGTGCGAACCGACCATGAAGTCTGGTGGACATGGAAAGCCAAGGAGGCGGAACGGGACCAGAAAGCTGGTAAAGTCCGAGGATTATTTCAGTTATTATTACTAGTATTATTATTTCAGACCTACAAGCAGGAAAACGGACAAGATATTCATCAGTTCGTACGAAAACTGAAATCATTACCCAAAGACTGAGTTTAAATCAGTACCTGCAACTGAATATCAAGATGAGTGCGTGCGTGATGCTATAATTAACCGCCTGGCGTCCACGTCCACCCGCGAGAAACTTCTAGCACAGAGCGAACTCACCCTGGACCAAGCATATCAGCTTGCTAGATCTCTCGAGTTAGCTCACAAACAGTCATATGTTAGTAACGAACCTATCCTGCTCTACAATTCCACCGATTTCACAGAATCCCAAACTGCGTGTCGATCCGACCATTGCTATTGTAAAATCCATTCAAACATGTTATTTCTGCGGTTACGAAACACATCCTCGTCCAAAGTGACCCGCTCGAGAAGCTGTCTGTGATAAACGCGGTCACTTCCGCCGCATGAGTTTCAAAAAATACCACCAAGTTCCACAAAATGTGTACAACGAAGCCCAGTTTACCGTCATTATTCGTTGTAGCAGCTCCTACCTGCCTGGCACATGCTATCGCAACCATCGAAGTCCATGGCATCGCTCTACGTGCTCTTGTAGTTTCATTAACTCTAACGTCGTGGAACTGCATAATTGGAAAATTTACCCAACTTTCTCAGTCGTCACAAGGCGTTACGCTTGTGCTTCTGTCCGATACAGAAATACTTCATACAATGAACTGAAGCTCTTTGTAATGCCAAACCTCTGTACCGAGCTGACAAGGATAATCATGTCGCAGAAACTGTCACGAAACGTATGTTCTTTCATGGGTAGCAATAACCAACTCGGAGAGCTTCATAACTCTCTCTGCAATCCCGGCATTACCCGTATGTTTCATTTTGTGCGTTGAAAGAATCTCCCCTACTCCGTCGACGATTTCAAGCGCGTTATTTCTTCCTGAAAAGTGTGTGCCAAACTGAAGCCAAGATTCTAGGAATCCTCTGGTGGATTCATCAAAGAAACACAACTTTTGAAAGCCTGAGTTTGGATTTTAAAGGTCCTTTGTCATCTAACGCACGCAACCGCTACGTACAATATTTGACGAGTTCTCTAGATTCCCTTTTGCATTTGCGTGTGCGGATATAACCTCGGCAACTGTGACTGACTGTCTCAAAAATCTTCTGTCTGTTCGGAATCCATTCCGACAGAGGCTCATCGTTCATATCGTCTGAGATCAATAGCTTTCTTCTAGAGAAAGGTGTTGCTATGAGTCACTCATCGGCTTATAATCCATAGGGGCGAGATGGCCCAAGTGGTTAGAGCGCGAATTTCCTAACCAGAAGGTCCGCGGTTCGAATCCGACCTCCGCCTCTCGACTTCCCCTGTCTAGGCTTGGGCAACCTGGCAGTATCCCAGCCCTCGTGCTTCCTTCGAATGTCACGGCAGCTAGGCACCTAAAGGGTGCTACAGCTTAACGCTTTTTTTCTTTTTTTTTATAATCCATTGTGTAACGGTTATTGAGCGTCTCAATGGTACTCTCTGGAAAACAATAAACTTGGCTTTGAAATCTCACGATCTTTCGCCTTCCCACTGGAAATCGGTGCTCTCTGATGCTCCGCACAGCATCCGATCACTGTTATCACGACCACCAACTGTACGCCACAAGAACATTTGTTTCAATACACAAGTCACTAGACATTTGCCATCACATCATCTGTCCAGAGTGGCCATGTTCCGCAACCATACGACCATACAGCCCTTACTGTAGCCACAAGTGACGCAAATTAGCAAAAGTGATGTACGCCACACATTTGTTTCAATACACAAGTCACTAGACATTTGCCATCACATCATCTGTCCAGAGTGGCCATGTTCCGCAACCATACGAACGAACTTGTTCCGTAAAATGGTAATGCATTTGCATCTCCCGCCAAACACCGCTGCCTTGCGGTTAGGCTTTTGAGCCAAAGGCTTTGATTGAGGAACCTAATCGTCCTCCTGTCTAGGTGTGGGCGCCCTGGCAGTATCCCAACCCTCGTACAACCATGACCTACACAACTAACAATATTCTCATGCCACATCGGGCGTCGCGTGGTGCCATCAGCCGGTTCGCCTTACTTGCTGCATACAACAGGGCGGGTAAGCGAAAACAGGCTACTGCTGACGCCTCCCTTCTTTCTCCTTCACATAATTTTTCTTCCCC